CGATTAGCAGTTGCTACGCAGTCTTGGACTCTTGGATGCTGAAGTCCGCCACCGGGGCAAGGTTTGATGGTCTGTGGTGGGACTTCCTGTTGGATTCGGATATGTTTCGAGCAGAGTTTCGCACTCAGGAAACAGAATTGAACTCCATATCCCACAGGTTATCAGTTCTTGGACATTTGCATGGACAACTAGCGGATTGCTCGGGGTACAACATGAACGCACACCACCAGCGCGGTGATACAATACGGACGTTGGCTTGTCATTTGCATGGACAAATGAATAACATAGATTCCTAACATTCACTCTTGTCATCGGAAACACTCGCAACTTATGCAGTCTTTTCCTAACATTGCACCTTCGTAGATGAAAAGATCGCATGCAGAATTGCGAAAAATGTTCTATGAAAAAAATAATTGAACCGCATATTGCAAAGTAGACAGGGGTTGTTTCCGAAAGAACATTCAAAGCAAAAAAATAGTTAATAAAACATTGTTTCTCACACCTATTGCAACTATTGTCTCTCGCACCTCTATCTACTACTTCATATCCACCATTTTAAGGTGCACATGCACATGCACATCATGTTCCACAAGATAGTATTTTTATACGTTTTCCCTTAAACACAAGGTCTGACCACCCATCCGTATCTAATGACATACAGGGTTTTCCGCGGACTAGGTCATGAACGGAAGCCATACATAGCATTCATAGATGAGCCATACACATGCATCTGCGGCTTGTCAATTGTTGCATTCTCCGAAAACACGGACATGTATTTCATCCTAACAAACCCTTCTGGTCGTGCTAAGGAATTCCCTATACAGTCTCATATGTCGGATACTTTCTCGTCCACCTCATGCCACAATGATAAACATCTGACCTGACCTGCTCTCACGAAATTTGACCGCCCATTTACATAGGGGCGAGACATCACGGGCTTGAATTTGGATCCCTGAAGTACCATCTCGTTCCGTGGCACGAGCACAACTGCATCCACGAGTTTTCTACTTTTGTTTGAAGAAGCCACACATAGCACTCTGGCGAAAGGACATCCGTCATCAGTCAACCGCACACAACAATATAATATAGCTTGTGGAGAAGTCCCTGGGCAACGGGGTGGGTAGTGTTCCAAGAATGAACAACGACGAGCGCAGTCCACCAACTCTTGCTTCTGCGAACTTCGCCAAGTTCGTGGCGAAGATGTGATGTACTCGCAACCGAGGCGACTTCTGAAGCTGGTACGGTAGCAAATCGGTTTACCCTTATCGTCTCGGATCTTTGGCTGGAGGATACCATCAGGCAGTGTAATGAGGCTCCCGAACTCCAACATGTTGGCAAACTTGTAATGGCTTGCCCAAGGGCAGGCACACTCCATCGCCTTCCAATCATTATCGTCCCATTCGTCGAGATGTCGGTTCATGTACGGGACGACGGTCATCCATGGGTCCTCGTCGAAGTCCTCCTCGGCTGCTTCGTCGATCCACGTTTAACCGTCATGATGCCGCACCGATCTCGCACAAGGTGAAAACGGTCTTGCTAAGCGCATGTGCGTCTCGGGACGCAAGCGCATGTGCGTATCGGGATTCAAGCGGATGTGCGTTTCGGGACTCATGCTGACGCTTGTCGAAGGTCTCGACGACATTACGCTCCCTACACATCACGCACACAGAAACGACATATACGGACAAGTAGACCGTCGTCAATAAAGTTGGCCAATGATAAGTCACCTGGTGCGGCCAACACTCATCGTCACACCCTGTACTATATATCGGCAAGCTCCTCACTTAAGCAAAGTGCGAGCGAACTCTCACTTACGTGCGAGTGAACTCGTACTCGGATGGAGAGGCAAGTGCGCACACCATCGGAGTGATGATTAAATATCAACACTAGCTTGTCATTTGTATAATCCCGGATGAAAATGTCATGAAATCTTTGCATGGACGAATTCGCAACATAGATTCATGACATTCACTTAAGCGGATTGCTTGGGGTTCAGAGCACAAGTGCAAGTGAACTCGCAGTTAGATGGAGAGCTAGGTGGTCACACGACTGAAGTGGAATGCTCGGGGTGCACACAGCAAGTGCGAGTGAACTCACACTTAGATGGAGAGATAGGTGCGCACACCATGAGCTTATGTGTGTAATGTATACGGAAATCCGCATGTCCTTTTTGTTTTCCCTGATGACATTATCGCCATTTTTTTGCATGGACACGATACATAACATCCGTTCAGAACTTTCACTTCTACCGATGACGACAGGCCGTGTGTACATGCGTTCATTCAAAGTTCTAACAGGCGACCCAAACGTAAGACACTGCGGCGCATCTACAAGAGCATCTTCCGCGAACATAGAAATATATTTCATGCGAACAAACCCGGTCCTTCCGGCCAGAGACCTGCCTATAGCATCCCGTATAGAGTTTCACTTTTAACAAAATGTATATTAAAGGAAAAAAACAGATTAACAAATGCGAAAGTGAAAAAAAAAAGAACCAAGTTTGAAATTGAGAATGATCGACGACCTGACAATTTGGAGGCATCCATGATTGTTTGTTTTTAGTTTATGAACTGAGATAGATAAGCAAGGGAGAAAATACTCATCAAGCCGTATGCAACACTGTCGCATCATACGCCACGTAGTCACGTCAAGTACACAGAAAGTACACAGAAGTCAAACTCAATGAATGGGCCAAAAAAATACAGAGATAAAACACCATTCAGGATCAGCATCCCCGACGCTGGGTCTCGGCAGCAACTGCTGGCATCCCTTGATTCCCATCCGCTTCTGGTACCTTTTTTTTTGTTTTTGTTTTTTTGAAAATGTTATAAATTACAGCATAGCAGCTGTTGAATAGGTAAAACCGTAAAAGTACACAAAGAGAGAAGAGTAGGACTCACACTTAATACTTAGTCTCATAGCCTGTTGTTGTACACCCGGGGTATTACTTCAGCTCACCTTTCCACTTTTTGTTTTGTTATTCCCATCGGCTTCTCGTACCTTTTTTTTTCTTTTTCTTTTTTGAAAATGTCATAAATTACAGCATAGCAGCTCTTGAATAGGTAAAACCGTAAAAGTACACAAAGAAGGAAGAGTAGGACTCAGTCGCATAGCCTGTTGTTGTACACCCGGGGTATTACTTTAGCTCACCCTTCCACCTTTTTTATTTTTTTTTTTGGGTTTTTCGCCCTCGCCAACCAACCCAGTGTATTACTCTAACCCACCTTTCCATTTCTTATAGCCAACATCACACGACATACCTACCCACATATATCTATTTTATTATCATTATTATTATTACTATTATTATTATTATTATTAACTATATATCTATTTATATCTATCCATCTCTTTACCTATTTATCCGTCTTGTGATAAAAGTATCTTTTTTTAACCTTTTTTCAATCTACAGCTAGATCTGATTCCCCGGGATAATCTAAAGAACATTCCTAACACCTGCACCTGGTCCATATAACGGACCTATTGACGGTAAATCCATCATACAACCCGGAAAGTTTTTGACTAGATGCGTTTCTATGCCGTTATCATAGGCCTCCTTCCAATACGCCACAGGATCCCAGGACGCTATATGCCAGCTGAGGTCTTCCACAGAATCCACACGGTGCCAGCGCTAAGCCTGTCCCTAACATCGGGAAGGCTGAAGATGCAGTGTGCAGCAGCTCATCAGCCGTATCGTGCTCAAGCTCTGATACATAATTGTGACTGAGGTGAGAGCACTGAGAGGGAGACGTGTGGACTCACTGCCCTTTGGTGGTGTGTCCGCGTCCTTTCTTGCACCCTCTCTCTCTCTCTCTCTCTCTCTCTCTCTCTCTCTCTCTCTCTCAAAGACGACCCCGCTTGTCTTCCGACTCAGATCATCAAAAGAATGATCCCGATCCCGTCTGATGTTCACGCTCTGCCCAAGCATTCCCAATTGCCGTGTAATCCGAGCGCTCGTCCTTGAGATGATGCCGATGATAGG